GTCGCCGCCGACCACGCCGCCCGCGTCGCCGCCGACCACGCCGCCCGTGTCGCCGCCGACCACGCCGCCCGCGTCGCCGCCGACCACGCCGCCTGCGACGTCGCAGATCATCACCAACACCGAGCCAGCCGACGACGAAGACAACGAGCCAGCACCACGACCGCCTGCCAAGCGCCCAAGACCGTGGCCCTCGCCGAAGAAGCCGCCAGTCCGAACTCGCCGACCCAATAAAAACATCTACAACCGCGACTACCGAGCGTTTGCAGCTGCAGATCTCAAGTCCACGCCGATCAGCACGCCGAACTCGTACCGCGAAGCCATGGCCAGCCCAGAGGCGCACCTATGGCTGGAAGCCATGACCGAGGAGATCAACGCGATCACCAGGAACGGGACGTTCCGGCTTGTCCGCCTTCCTAAAGGCCGGACGGCAATCGGCGCGCGTTGGCTATTCAAAGTAAAACGCAAGGCCAACGGCCTCATCGATCGGCTTAAAGCACGCTGGGTCGCGAAAGGATACTCCCAGCTCTTCGGGATCGACTTCGACGAGACGTTCTCACCCGTCATCCGCCTCGAGAATCTCCGACTCCTCCTCGCCATCGCCGCCAACCTCGGCCTCGCCATCCACCAGATGGACGTAGACAACGCGTTCCTGAACGCGGAGCTCACGGAGGAGATCTACGTCGAACAGCCTGAAGGCTTCGAGGACCGCGACCATCCGGACTACGTATGCCGCCTGCAGAAGAGCCTCTACGGCCTGAAACAAGCGCCGTTGGAGTGGAACCGGACGATCGACGCCTATCTAAAAAGGCACGACTTCAAGCCGACCCAGATCGACCCGTGCATCTACGTGCGCACCCGGAACAACAAGACCGCCTTCATCGCTGTCTACGTCGACGACTGCACAATCATCGCGCCTGACGAGCAGATCGACGACATCAAGGACCTGCTCCACCAGGGCTTCCGCATGAAAGACCTGGGGAAAGCCACCTCAGTTCTTGGACTCGAGATTCTACGCGATCAAGGCAACGGGGCGATCTACATTCGACAGGCAGGAAAGATCCACGAGATCATCCACGACTTCGGCCTGGCCAGCGCGAAACCGATCTACACGCCAATGGACGCCAGCCAGCGACTCCCGACGATCGACAGAACAAGCGACGACGACACCAAACTCCCGTACCGATCCGTAGTTGGACGCCTCAGCTACATCGCCTTGGCGACGCGACCCGACATCGCCTTCGCCGTAAACGTACTGAGCCGCCACGTCAACGCGT